CTTACTGTGACTACAGCTTTGTTTCTGTGAAGATTTTCATGGCCACTGAGCTAAAATCAGATTAGTCAGTAACAGAAGCATTTTAGCMATAGGTCCCATTCCTTCCTGTGGTCACCTTGTCATGGTGAGCAAATGCAGCTTTATGTCACCCTTGATTAGTATTCACCTTCCCAATGACAGGAAAAATGGGTTCCCTTTCTGAAACCACTTACATCCTCAACAACCTGCCTGCTTCCCAGACTGTGCCAGTGCTCCATAGTTCTCTCTCTCTCTCCTCCAGGCCATGCCACAGTGACATATGGTGAGGATTTTTGCAGGCTAACAAGGACAATTCTCCCAGACATCTTAGTTTTTAAATTCTAAGAGGGCTTTCTGCATTCCTTCAGTATCTGGCCACAGTAGCAAAACCTGAAATCAAATCTATTCATTTAGACCACACAGAAAAATATTCTTCTCATCTCTAAYATGTTAAAATTAGTTCCTGTAAAGATTGCATTGGTAAAATTCTATACAAATAGTCCTGTTAAAACCCAGTTTCCTCTACTTTCACTCTGATATGACCATGTCTGCTTYCAGCCTTTTTTGCAGTCATGGTCTGTGACTCAGAAAGGTCAACACTCAGGCCTTGCCTCATCTGCTATCACCTCTATTCTCTCTTCGTGACAAATACATATACTACACACCATTTTCTCTGAATACTCCTCATTCTTTACATTTCTCTCCAAATTTCAACTTTCTGGTCCCACCACATACCCAAACCCAGTTAGTTCTACACTCAACTTCCAAATAACTGTATCACTCCACGAAAAAACACACACACATGGGGGGGGAAGAAAAGCCAACCTCATATTGACTTCTTTATGTAAATTTCTCATTACCCTGATCTTGACATCCCTTTCACTGACTTGTTTCCTGTTTTCAAATTCTTACTTTCCTCCCCAGATACACTATTGTTAATTTTTTCCTTGCTTGAACTGCTTATATCTCCCCAAGGTCTGCTTGGATGATGCAAGTAGAAACATATTTGTGGTTCTGAGTTTCATTCTGGACATGGCCAAGTCATTAAAAAAAAACAACAAAAAAACCTAGGTACCTCTTCTGGCTGCATTTTATCTTCGTAAACCTGAAGAACCACCATTGAACTCTCAGAAGAACATCTGTAAGAGATGTTACAGTTACTCTATGACCAGGGCACAGCCCTGTTCCCAGAATACTTAAGTGGTACATACTGCATTTTGCCGTGCTTTTCTTTGCCTTCTCAATTCTCATCTGTGAAGTATAAGCTGGAACAAGGAATATTTCCTCTTCCTGATACCCTACAGCATCATCTCACCTTTTCTGGTCAACTGAAAGCTAAATTATGTCCAATTTTAGTTACCATTCACTAAGTAACTTTACATTTTTTCCCTTTCTAGCTGTTTCACTGGTTGAACTGTTAAAATAATTCTGCTTAGGATCTGTGACTGTGGTTTCTAAGAAAGTGTATGCTTTGGTGAGAGGCAAAAATTATATCAATCTTGATGTAAAAAGAACTAATGAGGCTTTCAGGCAAGTAAGAATTCTCTGCTCCATAATTACTGCTTTAGCATCTCTTGTTATGAAAGGGAGAGCACRGAAGCATTTCTGGGAAAAGAATTTATGCAAGGAAACTTGTTTCAGATTTCAGAGAAGCTAAATTTCAGAAAAGCTCCACTGCATTTCTTTCAACTAGATCAATGAGATCCTTTCCTCTATATCATGTATTTGATGGAAAGGCTCTTCAGAGATCTTTTCATTTATATGAAGCTTATCATCTCGTAATACCACAGATCCTAAATTAATCTCTTTGAATTAAATCAAAACTGTAGCCAACACTGCTGCTATGAAATAATGGACACAGGCTGAAAGGGAAAGATAAGACAAAAACAAAAAACCCCACAAAAGTATAGCCAGAATATAAAAGAAAGTTGCCTATACCAAAGACTGAATTCCTTCAAACTAAAGCTTTCTAGGAACACACAAACAATACCCTCTTATTCTGCTGGAGTCAGAAGACATGCAGAAGAATGAAGCAGATTCTCAGTTTTACAAGCAGTAAACTAGAGCATCAGGTCCTAGGAATTATGGACCAGTAATATTATAAAACCTGCAAAATGTATTTTTTGGTGTCTTTTTGTTTTTCATCTCAAGCGTCCACAGATTAAAGCACTGTAGCTAAGAATCTTTCAAAACTGCCTAATGTAAGCATAAAAACACCCAAACAAAAGCACTTTGCTGCCAGGGTGTTGTGTCCAGAGAGATCATGTCTCTGTTCTCAAATATCAGTTCAAATAGAAATCTGTTCTATTAYCTCATAAGGCTACAGCAACCACTACTTCTGATTTCTCAGAGAAATCTCTCTTCAGCTTCATGAAATTTTACTGAACATTGATGCTGTGTAAGTCTAATGGGAAGAAAGCTATGGGGAAACCCCCAGAATGGTATTTTAAGCTCCATATATCAATAAATCACTGTGAAATTCAGATTACTTCAGCTCTGTGATGCTGCTGCAGACTTCCCTATGGCAATTCTTACCAATACACCTGCAGCTACGTTTAATCTTGGCAACCTTTGACAGAGGCTTGAAACAAGAATGCCAGAACAACAGCAAGCATGATGAAGACAGAGACAACGATTAGGTGTGGTGAGTCTGACCTTCTCTAATACACAAAGACCAAACTGTGGTCAGCTGCCTTGAATTTATAGATTCCCTGTCTTTGCAATTAGAAACACATGAGTCAACATTCCAAGCAGAGCATTGGTTGTGGTGCAAAACTTTTTCTTCATGCTCGGGCCATACTTACTTAAATTCATGCACTGCAATTTCAAAGGTTGATGTAAACAACTGTAACTCCCAAAGAATTTAAAGTGGGTGTGTCTCAAGACTGCAGCTCACTCAGTAAAAATGGCTTGGATTTACAGAACAAAAGCAGAGTGCTGTCAGCATTTTCCACAAGCTTTTGAGTTGGTCACTTAGACCAAGATGATAGTTACTGCACTCAGGCCTACCAGGAAAGACACCTCAGCCTCTAAATCCAGCCACTCTAGAACTGATCTGATATCCAAAGGTGACTTCAAACTTGCTATAACTCTCTAGAGGACAGAGTGCAAGCAGCACATCCAAGACATCTTTGGTTTATTTGGGGGAAAAAAAAGCATCATTGCTTGTGACAGAGCAAAATTCAGCACATTTCTATGTTCTGCTACTCCAATGAGCTGTTCCCCTACAGCAGAAATGCCAGGCAGGAATAAATCAGCTGCAGATGGAGAAAAATAGAAAGAAAAAGAGCCCATAAAATGCTTCTTTAAGATATSTTGCATCACATACATTTCAGAGAAACACAAAGCCTGTTTAATAAATATGATCCTGCAGCACAGAGAACAACACTAGGTGTGCAAGAAAGAACTTGATTAATTTAATACCTAATTCTGTGTCGTGAAGAATTCCTTAAGCTACTCCAGAGCTGGATAGTGATGGCAGCATGCATCACAAAACAGATTGCAAGATTTTTTTAATAATACAGTCATCAACTGAGTTTCTCTCAAAACTGCAGCCTCCAAACCAGACCATTTTAGTCACCAGAAAACTCATWATTGTATATTACTCACAACGATTTATGAGAAACAAGAGACTGAGTGGGAGGTTTGTGGAGGATGGGGTCTCTACCATTTTCCTCTAAGCTGCCCAAGAGGCACAGCCTGTGCTGTACATGTGGAGMCTTAGCTTAAGTCTCTGAAGGACTGGAGCAGCAGTTCACATTAGTCTCAGTAAAAGAATCATGAGCAAGCCCTGCCTGTACAAAGGGGAACAACCTGTTCCACACCTTCCTCTCAGGGGTGGTTTTCTGAATACTCTGTYTTAGCTGGCTAGCTGATTCATAGAAAAACAGAGCTACTTGAGAATGCATGAAGCAGAAGTTTTTGCTCTTGAAGGACTACTAACTTTTACTTTCWAACAGTTCTTCTCATTTATCTGTTAAAATCAGAAACAAGAGTAATTTATTTTAAAAGCCGTCTGGCAGGATTAAAACAAGCATTTTTCTCAAAAAGTGGCTCTGATCTGTCAGGAACTAGCTTTCCAGTGTATGTAGTTCTATTGCCTACAGTTGCACTGTTATAGTAGGAATGAAAAGCCAAGCTGTTGATTTTTTTACCCTGGTACCTTTAGCGTCACTGGAGATAGGTGAAGGCCTTGAGAGTCATAGGAGGAGCAGACAGAGCAAGGCAAGGCAAGGAAATGCCAGGAAAAAAAAAAGGGCTGTTGTAGTCAAGGATGTCATTCTCATGCCAGAGTCCAAGGGCAAAATTTTGATTGCATGTCCAAAATTTAGTACTTTAAAGGATTGGACCCAGACAAAAGATGCTAGCACAAACAGGTCTTGCAGGATGTGACCTCCCCTGGACAAAACACTACAACTTTTTTAAGTGATTTTTTTTCCCGAAATATTTAGAACAGTTACAACTTACAATACTATATATGATTACTTCACTGCATTCAGTATACTTCAAGTAGCACTAAATCTATAAAGTTTTTAAGGAATGAGAAAAAATAAGGTAAAACAAACGTGAAAAACCCAGAAGCATTAGGACAAGTATTTTGGAAAAGCCTGKCTAAAACCCAGAAACTTTTATAATTACTCTCGGGACTTGCTCCTAACTGCCAGCCACCAAGGCAAAACCAAGTTGAACAATACTGCTGTCAAACTGCAATCAATTTCTACCTACACCTGAAAAAAAAAACGACTATAATGATAAACCTTGTTTCCTAAGTGGAAAACAGCTGTCCCCTTAAAAAATGAGATTGAGTGTCATATTTATTCTGAATATGCTGGCACTTCTGATCAAAATTTTTGCTCTGGAAAAACAAGTATTTTAACACTCAGTTCTGAGAAATAAGGATCATATTAAAAGTTCTTTAACTGAATAAAGCTCTGCTAGGCTAACTGATAATAAGACAGATTTGATTAAAAAAAAGGCTTGAAAACAGCATATTAATGTTTTATTTTATAAAAAATTAGTATTTCAACAGAAAAAGTTACTATCCAGCAGATCTGTGGAAATCTGACATATGCCTTGGTCATTGTGGCAATTCTACTCAAGTCTCATGTTTTCCACAGAGAACAGCAAACATGCTAGCTGATCAGAATATCAGTGTTTTAAAAAAACACCACAGAACTCCTCTACAGAAGCATATGGTTATTTCTTCGCATAAGTGATTTTCATGGCATGAGATGGTGTGATCTTGAATCCTTGGAGAGCATCTCGAGCAGCCCCTGCTTGATTCTCATTTTCAAACTCCACAAATGCGATGTCATGGCGCCCTGGCACTAAGCGTACTTCTTTGAATCCAGGAAACCTTTAAAATAAGGTAAGAGTCAATTAATACTTCTTAGCTTGATATTACRTCTCTCTTCAGTAGCTTCTTATCAGAAGCATCTACTAATGCAAAATTTATTACTAATGAAAGATTTAAATTGAAGGGTTTTACGTGTTCTATCCTCAGAACTATGCCTCAATTAAGGACCATTATGTGGAAGCAATTTTATCAGTCCTATACAAACACAGGTGCAATCGAATTAACCTAAAAACTGCTCCTGCTGTCCTAAAGACTTACAGTCACAAGCTTCAATTCAATGCAGATTGATAGCAGATAAATTACACAATCAAAACCAGCTATGAAAAAGATCACATTTGCTTTCTGAACAAAGTCATCAGAACTGACATCTGTAACCTTGTCAGTAAGACAAAAACTGAAATAYCTTCAGAAGAAACTCTTAATTTCTAAAAAGAAATCTTGCCAACTGAAAAAACAGAAGGTTACAGAGGAATTCAAAAGAGAAATAATTTCTTTTAAAACTTACTGATTAAATAACATGGACAGCATCATCTCATTTGTTTCCTCAGGCAAATTATTRAGGAAAAGGATATAGTTTGGTGGGTTATCAGGCACCTGAAAAAACAGAAGATGAAAGCTCAGAAGACTATACATAGTTTYATACAGTTCCTCTACATCTTGCCTACATGATTATTTGAACCGAGACTCACATTTCCTTAGTTTTGCTCATAACATTCAGTCTGGGCTTCAGCACACCTTAATCAACATGCACATAAAGCCCCTTGGTTCTTTTATACAGATGTTTGTTTGGAGAGGTTCTTACTTCCACAAAAATCACARTAACATACTGTTTTGGATATCCCATTTAAAATCAACTAGTCAGGAGCTGACACTACAGTACTCTCCGCATCGATGTGTCCAAGTAGTGGCTGCAGTGCTGTCCAAGGTACCTATATGGCAGYGGTAAAACATCTGAAAGACTCACATTCTTTTGAAAGCAGTGGGAAGCCAAGCCCTGTTGATCTACTTGATGAACCAAAACTGGTACCAAAGTACGACCAAAATACTGAGGATCTCGGGGCAACAAAAGCCCACAAAACTTCTTTGGGTTTACTACAAAGCTCAATTCAGGTTTCATAATTACAAACCCTTTTAGATTTAGAGCTTTARTCTTTTAACAGATTCACCTGCTAATGTGAATTTGCCACCAATCATGGACAAGGCTGAATTGTCATTTGCTGATATTGGAATTTCCAAGTCATCAAGTACATCATAAAAATAAAAACTAGGCACCACAATTTTAAACATCCTAAAACCAGTGCCAAATAAGTTAAAGCCTCAGCAGAACAATCCCCTTCAACTGATGGAAACATGCCAGGTAATGCTATTAGAAAACCAACTTCTGAAGTTCAAAGAAATACCCAAACACTCAGTGCTATGCTTTGATGCAAACTGACACACACATTTTGTGCCTGAAAATCCGGAGTGGGAGCAAGACATTTCCCCTGTTGATTATGTATGCAATGGCAGTACTCAAGGAAGATGCAGGGCAGGGCAGGCAAAAATATTYTTCTGTGTCTGGGAACTTGCTTTCCTGCAAATCCTGGCTCTTTAATACCTTCACTTCTAACATGAATCTTTTAAAAGGTCACTGAGTAGACAAGATGAATGAAGCATAGGGAGCTGTTCCTACATCTCAACACAATCCTTTGGAAAATAAGACACTTGTGAGAAAAAAGAAGCAGAGTACCCCCAAACTTCTGAAATAAAGCTTTTAGGCAGATATTCTAGCATCCTGTGTTGTCTTTCTTCTCCTTATCTACTACTACAACAAAGTAAGTTAAAGGAAATTAATTAACAATGAAAAMAAATTAAGAATCCTTTGATTGATACTAAACAGTCCAAATTTAAGAATCCACTATGATTTGGAAATAGCRTTGTTTCCTGTACAGTAATGAGAAACTGCAGATTCTCATTGCCTCACAACCAGATATAGTAAAAGAGAGTTTTGTTTTGTTTGTTTGCTGTGATATAGCTGTTAGACAAAGGTCTCATAGGACAAAAACAAAGCTGTAAATTATAGCCTCAAGTTTCCATGTGTAAAAAATTATTATTCAYAGAGAATAATTATAAACATTAGTGCTTTTAGTTACAAAAATAAAAAAGCATTACCTGATTCTGTGGTGTAGTCCCTGGGGCATTGGCTGAATTCTGTGTTGCTCCCTAGCAAATAARCACAAAATAATTTTACAAAGGTGTTCCATTAGAAATAGATAACCACACACCATCATGTTTCTCCACAACTCAAGACACATGGTAAGGGTTTTTTTAAGCTACAATCCAAGCAACAATTTTTGCCTATGAGAYACTTCCCAAAGGGAACAAAGCATGTGAATTTTGCTTAGCTCCAAAACCAGKCAATGAAAAGAAGAAATATCAATACTATCCGATCAATTTAATGGCTGTAATCTAAAGTAATCTAAATCTAAAGTATTTTTCCATATTATAAGATTTGATTTAATAGATAGGGAGGAAGCAGTTTTGAAAATGAAGACCTAGACAAGTATCCTGGTTTTGCCTGGGATAGAAATAATTTTCTTCTTAGTATAGTGTGTTTCGAATTTAGTATAATGCTGATAACAAACTCTTTTGGTTGTTGATAAGTAGTGCTTGTTTAAATCAAAGACCTGCCAGTTTCCCATGCTCTGCTAGTGAGCACATGCACAAAAAGCCAGGAGGGAGCTAGGAGAGCTGATCAGAATTGGCCAAAGGGATATCCCATAGCACAAAACATCATGTGCAATACATAAACTGGGGGGAGCTGGTCAGGTGCCTTATGTTTTCTGCTATACTTCAGCACAAAACTGTATGTTGTTAGTTTAGACAGGCCAATCCTTAGTGGAATATATTCCAAACCTGATAATTAAATGTTAGATKAACTCCTGTTCATCTAACATCTAACTGAAATTAATTATCTTGCTCCCATTTACCATTCTTCTGTCCTTATTGGGCAAACATGCCATTAATACACTGAATAGAAAAACTGGTTGAGTACTTGAAGCCAGTACTAAAGCACACTCTCCTTTTTTTACCTTTTCTTAAAAGAAGCTAGTTTCTACTTTGGTTTGTTATACCTTTGACCTACATCTTCATTTTCATCTGGTAATAGCAAAGCGGGAAAAAAAAAAGAACAGCAAGGACTACATAACCAGCCCACTCTCCTTCAACTTCTAGCAAATGCTCAAGAGCTCCAGATAATCAACAGGCCTCAATTTAGGGAATTGAAATGTAACAAAAGACAATACTAGTCCTTAAAAAAATTATTTAGAACAGCTTTTGTGTTTGTTTTGGCTTTTTTTTGTTCTTTTCTAAACAGAGAAGCAGCTTACCTGGATAACCTTTTTATTTGGTGCATTTGCTGACTGCTCTAAAGTTTTGGCTTTCTTCTTTTCCTTCCTTTTTTCCTTATCAGCAAAAGTCCCRCGCATTTTAGAGATGATATCAGAGTCTGTTTTTGCATACTGAATACGCTTTTTAAAAGAAAAAAGAAAAACKGAGTAAATTCTGAGTAAATTCACATTTCGCACCACTTTCATTAACTGTGTATTTGCACTTCTTTTTGCAGGAACTYTTTATATTAAAAACATTGTTATGAATTGCAGCAACACTTATAGACAAACCAATTCTCGTAAGTTAATTCTAAACTTCTTACAGAAGTCTAGAAAAAGCCCCTAATATGGAAATTACTAATTTTAGTTCACTGAAATCTGAACTCCATTCATCTAATGATATCTTTGTAACACCTAGCAAGGTAACATGTACCTGAAATGTACTGAAATGTAATGTGTGACTGTGTTTGGTGATCTACAGTCAAGCAGAGCCAGTTATCAATTAAAAAAAATAAATCACTGGTCACATCCGGAAAGTAAACTGTGGAGATCTTCACCCTCCTCCCTGTTACCTCAAAAAGGAAGCATCATATTCTAGCTACTAATGAATCTAATAGTAGTTTATGTTATTCTACAGAAAGTAACTGAAAGCATCTAATTTTAATATTGCAGAATTAATTTAACTGGCTCAGTGGAAGACATGATTAATAAAATGAAAGTATTTAAGATCTTTAAAACTTTAATCCAGCACAGAAAAATAAAAAGCCCCCACTTAGAAAACCTAAATGTCAAAGTGTGTGTGTATTGYAGCTCTTCAGCATCCCTCCAGCTTGCACAAATGCAGATACTCACAAGGATGTAACGTCACTGAGTAATTAACAGTTAAGTAACAACTACATATGACAGTTTATTCCCAAGGTGCAAGTACCAAAACATACCATCAGGGCACTCTTTTTCTTTACAAAGGTAACAAAATAACTTACCATTGGTTTTCCATAAAACGGAAAGCCTTGTAGCTGCCTCAAAGCATTGGTAGAAGATCCAAGTTCTTTAAATATAACAAATGCCTGTCCTCTCATCTTCATGGTCTTTAAAGCCACAATGTCAACCACATGACCAAACTGTGAGAATAATGCATACAGGGACCTCTTCAGCTCTGGGGACCAAGGAAGAAGACAAATTATAACAGTTTACATGCAAATTTTCACTTCCATAGAGTCTGCTGTCCTTCAGAAACAATGTTTATTATGAGCTTTAGTTCGCACAGTGATTACATGAGTTTGTCAAAACTGTTGCAAAAGTACAAGTTAATTTGTCCAGGTTTTGTAAACTGGCATGCAACGCTTGGTTTCAAGCCTCAAGGATTCAGGTAGTGAAGAAGTTGCAGTGCCACCCATTCTACCATTCTGAGGGAGTAACAATTACATAARGTTATGTAAGACCRTATTTTCATATMTGTATATAGACACACATTCTCACAYAATCAAGTATGATGTATGACTGTATGACTGATCAGAAAATCAAAACTGAAACRAACAGCAGTAAAGAGGTATGATGTAAAACAAGAACACAGCAAAGTAGTAACTACCTAAAGAATAATTCAATTTGGAAATTTTGGCTCTAATTGTTAAATCAATTTTCTCACATGCAGCACTTCTTCATGTTCTGGATCTGAGTGATTTTGGTATGAGCCTACTGCACCTTACAACAGCTGCAATGAGTTTACTTTAGTTATTTACAATCACCTGAACATATGCCAAATTAAACCTTAGTCCTACCCAAATCAAGCTAAATAAATCATATGTACTGTGTCATCATTCTAACACACAAACCTTATATTTGAAATATTTTAGCAATGTAGGAGTGCTGCCTCTTCTTTATTGCTGCTGAGACCATGTAATACCACTCCACTATCACTTTCTTCTTTTTCTGATTAACCATAGTGTGTTATTTATTAAAAAAAGGTTTTCTATCAAAACACCCTCCCTAAAAATTATTTTAAGACCTGGATTAAAATAAAAATCAATTTGTAAGCTTAACAGATAATTTGAAACCCTACATTTGACCCATGGGAATCTTATGAGATTTAACAAGACCGAATGTAAGGTGCTACATCTGGGTCAGGGCAACTCCCAGTATCAATCAGTCCAGGGTGAGGGATGGACAGATGGAGAGCAGCACTAGGGAGAAAGACTTAGGGGAACTGGTGGACAAGGGGCTGGACATGAGCTGGACATGTGTACTCACAGTCCAGAAACCAACCATGTCCTGGGCTGCATCCAAAGCAGGGTGGGCAGCAGGTGAGGCATGGGATTTTGCCCCTCTGTTCTCCTCTGGTGAGACAACATTTGTGGTGCTGCATCCAGATCTGGGGTGCCCAGCACAGGAAGGACATGGAGCTATTGGAGCAAGTCCAGAGGAGGTCACCATGTTGACCAGAGGATGGAGCACCTCTCCTATGTGGAAAGGCTGAGAGATTTGGAATTGCTCAGCCTGGAAAAGAGAAGGCTTAGGGGTGACCTAACTGTGGCCTTCCAGTACCTGAAGGGAGCCTACAAGATGGAGAGGGACTATTTAGAAGGGCTTGGAGTGACAGGACAAGGGGAAATGGCTTCAAATTGAGAGAAAGTTTAGATTTGATATTGAGATTGTGGACTSCCCCTATCCCTGAAAATGTTCAAGACTGGGCTGTAGGAAGATCTGAGCAACCTGATCTAGTGAGCGGTGCATTTAATTGCTTTAGTTATTGTTTCATTACAAGGAGGCGTTTGCCTCGGCTCACGACCACCTCCTCCTGCTCCACATTTCAGAGACCTCCAGGAGCTCCTAGCAGCCTCGAGAATCCCTTTGTAAGACAAGTGCGGTGTGCATGACCAGGCTCTACTGTACAGACAACATCCCCTTTCCCGAGGCGAGCGGCAGCCACCCTTACCTTCCTTCTTGATCTTGTCATTGATGTTGTTGATGTAGATGGTGTGGTTCGGCCTGATGTCCATCCTGCGCGGCACCTGCGAACCTGCATGGGGGCAGAGAACACCGGGGAGGCGTCAGCGGCGGCCGGGGCGCTCCGATCCACGGGGAGGAGAGTTCCCAACGCCGGCGACACCACACAGGCCCGGGCAGCGGCACCGCGGGCCTGGGGAGCGCCTTGTGTGACTGTGTATCTGCCCGCCCTCAGGCCCTGCACCCGCCCCGCTCCGGCTCTCTCCATGGGCGGGATGGGAACTTCAGAGAGGGA